TTTTATTTGTATTTTTTTGACTAAGATTAGGGTGAATAATTAAAACAGATTTATTTGTTTTAGCTGTGACTGACATTAGGTGAATATTTAATAATCAATTTATTTATTCATGTATTTATTTATTTGTTTGTTTTAGCCATGACTGACATAGGGTGAATTATTAGTAACTTATTTATTATTTTAACTGTGCCTGACATCAGGGTGAATAATTAATAACTGACGTCATTTTATTTATTTATTTATTTATTTATTTGTGTTCTTGAATTAAATGGGCTTAAATTCGCTCCCTGCTGAAATGAAACCTGTTTTTGTTTATATAGTGTGATCATTTACCGTAGAGTTTGTTGAGCAGTGTGCTGGAGCCGTCCTTCATCTTGATGGTGTGAATCAAAGCAAATTCATCATACTTCACATCAGCAATGCGCATGTCATTGTCAGTTCCAGAGCCTGAGGGAGAAATAAAGATTGCTTAATGAAATTGTGTGTAAATAACTATTATATTTCAACTATTAATTATCAGTTTACGTATTAAGTGTTCTCTGGTCATTTGCGGTTGTGAGTTGCATTATGGGATGTTGATCTCTGCTCTGTCCACTTTTGATGTTTAAAATTCAACTCTACAGTTTAACAAAGTGACTTTTATTGGCGTTTCAGTAGTTTGAAATCATATAAAGTATAAGAAATAGTATCTAGAGAAATAAGTGTGTAAAATAACAGTGAAATGTGCTGCAGTTTATTTTCGAGGTTAAAAGTTGCCGGAAGAAAGATCAAGCTCCAATAATACAACTCAAAAGCATAAATTATCGGGGAAAGATAAAAATATGAATCACAAAATACAGAAAACTGCTTATTTACGGATGATTTTTGGTGAATCTGAACTTTTCTTTCTTACGTTCAGTGTGGAAGCTGAATTTTCCAGGAATATCGGTCTTCTGAGCCAGATAGTTCATTCTCCAGCATGTGCCATCAGGACTGGAACGACAGAACAAATAGGTAAATATTTTACATTAATAGAGCACACATGAACAATACTATAGTAAACAATCCAGTGTTTTTGAATCAGGCCTTGATTGGCTAATCGGGAGGACCGGGAGATTTCCTGGTGGGCCGGTCCGTTTTTTGGCCACGAGGGCCGGTGTCCCTTGCTGCTTGCACTCTCAGCAGTCACACTCTTTTCATTTATTCATGTATTTGACCACAGCCTGACTCTTTTTATTCATTATTTTGCCGCAGCTCCGCTCTTTTTATTTATTTTCTCGCAGCCCCGTGAGCAAAATGCAGCCCGCAGGGTAATCATGATGTAATAGTAAATCATCATTCAACCCCAAACAGCGGCACCTTAGTGAATATAAGATTTCGAAAAATTAATATTAATGAATAATACACCTGCTCAATGAAAATCAGATGATTCAGTACTTAATAAGTCTGATATAATTTGATCAGAGATCTTAAAGGGGTAGAAAGGGATACAGGTCAGTCACAGTGCAATATATATTTTTTGTTCCTAACAGAAAAGCGCCATTGTGGTCCAGTGGTCAGCGCGTTGTGTTACTAAAGCCTAGTTCACACTACAGGATTCTACACATCAGCAGATCGCTGTGCCATTCACACTACATGACCTGACTTTGTGTCTTTTAGGCCCCGTTTACACTAGTGCGTTTTAGTTTTAAAACGGCGTTTTAGAATGAAAACGATCCGCGTCCACACTCGCGTTTTACCCAGCGTTTCTGAACTGCTCACCGTCCACACCAAAACGCTGAAAACGCACATCACGTGACCACACAGACACTCTCTGGCAAGCGCTGCAGCTCATCTACCCAGATGAGAGCTCTGCTAGTTGGACTTCTCATCAAGCATCTCCCGCTGGATCTAATATCTCACTATATTCATTAAACGGGATATTTCATTCATCTTGTTGTCTTTATCTAACGACATATTCCCTGACTTTGGTCATTGGAATCTATTACTTGTTCTCAGGTAACGTGTTTTGGCTGAGCGCAAAGATAAGTTAATGATTAATGTAACCACGTAGACTATTCTGTATATTGACTGATCGCTTGCCTTTATTTCCTATAATTTATAAACTTATTGTATGTTATACTTTTATAATGGCCATTATCGATTATTAAAACTGATATTCAGCAAAAGAGAGGGTGTGTTTCGTATTTTCACTGAAATTGAAAGGAGGCAGTTGTTATCGGCTCCGTTTTGTTATAAATATCCACACAGTGAAGATGACGCTCATGCAGCACGGCGCCTCAACATTTCTGCTGTCTAAGTTGCTAATATTAAAATGAAAATAGGCAGTTCCTTAAATCATGTTTACATTTTATTGTTGAAAAAGTGAAACAACGAAGCCAGGGTGATGTGAATGAAGTTATAAAGTACACTGTTCCCTTTGAAGATTTACCCGTGTCCTCGGTATAGTCTGTTTTCCATATCAAACTGAGAAGAAGAGACTGCAGCCTTGATCAAACTTGCGAAGTCTGAACTTACACGGAGAAGATGCAGGACTGAACTGTGCGTTAGGCTACTTAATATTCAGGAAAAGCCCCAATCAGAGAGGCGAATGTCTGCAGCCCCGCCTCCGTTTTCAGATGTCTCCGTTTTCCATCATCCACACTGAGACGGAGCAGCAGCGTTTCAGAATGAAAACGGCCTCTCCAGCGTTTTCGAAACGCTCCGTTTTCGGCGCTCGAGAACTCCGGCGTAGTGTGGACGGATGGCGTAACCGTAGCAAAACTCATGCGTTTTCAAACTAAAATGCATTAGTGTAAACGGGGCCTTAATCTCTGTGGTGTTCACACTACGCAACACTCCGTGAACGATCCACAAGTCGTCAGAAAAAGCTGAACACTATTGGCTGCTTGTGTGCAGATTACATCACTGACAGCGTTTCAAGCTTTGGAGAAAGCATTTAAAAACATCGTCAAATCAGCTGATTCATCAGCGGATTAATCACTCATCTGCAGGTTCCAGTGGATTGATACACAGAGAGTTTTTAATTTTTGTAATTTTATAACTCTTTGAAATAAAACTAGCATATTTATAACACCCTGCCGTTTTCTAACTATTAGTGTATTTCTTTCTGACATTGTTATTTTTTTTTTATTACAAAACAGTAAAGAACTGAGCATTTCTGCCTTAAATTACCATATTGGTTAAAATGACTCATTCATTTTTTTTTAAGGCAACCAGGATTTTTTTTTACAGTGTGATCATTACAATTCATGAGTAGTCTGCTCAGCTCAGTGCATTAAGATGTTTTTCTGATTTATTATTATTATTGTTTGTTTTTGTGTGTTACTTGAGACTGGAGTATGCCATGTCCAGGTCTCCTTCCTCAGTTGGCGTCACCATGGCGATGCCCATCTTCATGTTGGCCTTACGGCTGACGAACCACTCAGCGTTGGTCGCAAACCCGATCAGGTGCCATTTCCCTGTCATCTGTGCGAAAGACACAGCAAATATACGATCGTCAACGATATTATGAGCTTCTGAAAGGATATTGTGCCGAAGATCTGCCTGATTTAAAACTCCTTCATTTAAATATAGATTTATTTAATCCTTGTACAACCATACAGATGTTTAAAACAATAACAAACGTTCTGTAGATGATAATGTTTGATTAATATTTTATGTTATCTCATTCATTCATTCATTCATTTTCTTTTGGCTCAGTCCCTTTATTAATCAGGGGTTGCCACAGTGGAATGAACCGCCAACTATTCCAGCATATGTTTTACACAGCGGATGCCCTTCCAGCTGCAGCTCAGTACTGGGAAACATCAATACACTCTCACATTCACACACACACTCATTCACTATGGCCAATTTAGTTGACCAATTTAGTGACCAAAATGACCTATAGCGCATGTGTTTGGACTGTGGGGGAAACCGGAGCACCCGGAGGAAACCCACAGCAACACGAGGAGAACATTCAAACTCCACACAGAAATGCCAACTGACCCAGCCGGGACTCAAACCAGTGACCTTCTTGCTGTCAGTGAGGTGACAGTGCTAACCACTGAGCAACTGTGCCACCCCTAAGTTTCTTCATATCAGGGGTGGCCAACCCTATTCCTGGAGAGCCACCTTCCTGCAGATTTCAGTTGCTACCCATATCAAACACACCTGAACCAATTAATTAGGACCTGAACACCACGTGATAATTACAGGCAGGTGTGTTTGATATGGGTTGCAACTGAAATCTGCAGGAAGGTGGCTCTCCAGGAACAGGGTTGGCCACCCCTGAATAAATTAAGAGACCACTTACTTTTTTTACTGGATTTACTGGTTTTTAGTAAAGTAGCAATGAGTTTGAGTGAAGTTGTTAGTACTTGGTTTATTTTATAAAGATCTAATGACACGAAACTTTAGTTTTAAAAGGTATTATCAGTCATTTAGAGCATTTTTCTATTTTTAAAAGATGGCCCTTTATAGCAGCAGCGAATGTTTTCATTGGCAGTGATTGAAAATCATGGTGTCTTTTTAACCAAGTGTTCATTTTGGTAAATCTTTATAATAACTACACACTATGAATCATTTATGAAGCATTAGTATTTTGCGAATTCATTATTTGTTAAGCATTAACTGGTCACACTTTACAATACGGTTCATTTGTTAATGTTAATTAATGCATTTACTAACAAGAACAAACATTGAACAATACATTTACTACAGTATTTATTAATGTAAATAAACGTTAGTTAATGAAAATACAGTAGTTCATTGTTAGTTCATGTTAACTCATGGTGCATTAACTAATGTTAACAAGCATGTACTTGAAAGGTATTAATGCATTAGTAAATGTTCAATTATGATTAATAAATGCTGTACATGTGTTGTTCATGATTAGTTCATGTTAGTTAATGCATTAACTAATGAACCTTATTGTAAAGAGTTACCCATTCACTCTACATTAATAAGCGTTAGTAAGCAGTTTATAACTGCAGAGACAAGTGCTCTATTCTTGACTTATAATTAGGCCCACATGGAATCTGCGCCCGCAGAATTCCGCAGATTTTTCGCAGATTTTCCGCAGAATTCCGCAGATTTTCGCAGATTTTCCGCAGAATTCCGCAGATTTTCGCAGATTTTCCTCAGATTTTCGCAGATTTTCCGCAGATTTTTCGCAGATTTTCCGCAGAATTCCGCAGATTTTCGCAGATTTTCCGCAGAATTCCGCAGATTTTCTGCAGATTTTTTTGCAGAATTCCGCAGATTTTCGCAGATTTTCCGCAGAATTCCGCAGATTTTCCGCAGAATTCCGCAGATTTTCGCAGATTTTCCGCAGATTTTCGCAGATTTTCCGCAGAATTCCGCAGATTTTTCGCAGATTTTCCGCAGAATTCCTCAGATTTTCGCAGATTTTCCGCAGAATTCCGCAGATTTTCTGCAGATTTTTTTGCTGAATTCCGCAGATTTTTCGCAGATTTTCCACAGAATTCCACAGATTTCTGCAGATTTTTAGCCCATCATTAATTCTGTTTATTTGCTTGAGTAAATGTGTAAATCTGAATTTATTCAGTTTTTATTCAGTAATTTATTACTTTTTATTTAATATATTAAGGTTTTAGTTATGATACTCCGCTGGATACTCCCAAAATAATTCTGCAGAAATCCGCTGATTTTTACCAAAATTCTCCGCAAAAACAGCAAAAAACGTCCGCAGATTCCGTCTGGCCCTGCTTGTAATCACATTTATAATGTGCTTAATAATTGTACTTTCATAATTTATAACTGCTTGATTTTTAATTACGAAATTAAGTATTGCATTATTTACAAACCAGTTGTATTTTAGAGTAGTTAGAGGTTTTTAAGATCATTCAGAATGAGTTAGTAAATGATTAATAAACTATTTAAATCAACGTTTATATGTCTCATTATTCTGGCCAATATTATCCGTTAGTTTGTATGTTAATAAATGCTTTATTAACACATGCAGTTTTGTGATCTAATCTAAAGTGAAGACTATTAATGCACTATTAATCCCTTATAAATGTTATTTAAAAGCTTGGTATCACATGAACAATAATCTTTGCAATCTTATCTAAAAGTAGGCCCACACAGAATATACGCACGCAGAATTACGCAGATTTTTAGCCCATCTTTCATTCTGTTAATTCACTGTAAATCTAAGCTTATTCAGTTTTCAAATTAATTACAGTAGTATTATTGACTAACATGAAAATGCTCATTTGGTTGATGTACAATGCAGTTTGTACAGTAATATTTTCTGTCTTTTAGTAGAGATATTATATGAGAGACTTGCTTTGTTTACCAAATCAAGTGAATCTAATTGGATTTGCATTGTAAACATTAAATACAAGTTTAAAAGATGTTATTTTTTGTTTCACATATTAATGTTTTAGTGATGATACTCCCAAAATAATTCCACAGAAATCCACAGACTTTTATTAAAATTCTCCGCAGAAATAGCAAAAAATGTCCGCAGATTCAGTCTGGCCCTATCTAAAAGGTAAATTTACTGTAAAGTTTAAACATGGTCGAATAACAGGAGTGTCAAAATCTGATTTTCAATTGGATAAAACAGCTACATTATAGTAATTTAACAATATAATAAAATGCAATGTCTAAACTGTAGTGTCATTTTTAGATAAGGTTGCAAAGATTTGCTTTTATTTGACAGTTTCATTTGTGTGTGTTTAAATGACTAGAAATTAATAAAGTTGTTTGTGTTTTTTTTTCCTGTTTAGAATTTAACTGAGCCTTTATTTGTCATTTATAAGGGATTTATAAAGCATGAATAGTCCTCACTTTAGACTAGATCAAAAAACTGGATGAATTTGAGTTAATAAAGCATTTATTAATACACAAATGAACTGTTAATACATGCCTGGATAATAAGAATTATAAATGCTAATTTGAATAGTTTATTAGTCATTGACTAACTCATTCTGAATGATCTTTAAAAACAACTATGCTTAAATAACTGGTTTGTAAATAATGCAATACTTTGTTTAGTAATGTAAAATAAATCAATTACAAAATATGAAAGTACAGTCATTAAGCACATTATAAATGTGCTTATGAGTCAAGAATAGAGCATTTATAGCTGGAGTTATAAACTGCTTACTAATGTTTATTAATGTAGAGTTAATGCTTAACAAATAATGAATTCACTATTTGCTAATGCTTAATAAATGGTTTATAGTGTGTAGTTATTATAGTGTTACCTTAATTTCTTAACTCAGTTAAAGTTAAAACAGATTTTGTGTCATAATAAATATATACAGCGATGGCCCCCTTATTGTTATTTTATGCACAGAATGACAATATAGTTCTGTGTTTGACTAAAACATCATGTTTGTAATGGTGAAGTAATGATGACATTTTTAAAGTGTGATTTCTAAATTTAAAATGACAATGCAATTGAGAGACAGTTTTCTTTTTAAGTGATACATTTAATGTTTGACTAAAAGTTATTTATGATATATATTATGACATCATAATGAGGTTAATATAATATAATATAATATAATATAATATAATATAATATAATATAATATAATAATATATAATATAATATAAAATAATATAATATAATTTATTATAATTTATTATAATATAATATAACATAATATAATATAATATGACAA